GGCAGTTTGGTGAAGCTTCTGTACTCTTGGCTTTTAGAGCAGATGAGTAAAAGTCCTAGATGCCAGATGCTTCTGGAAAGAGGTGAGCTCTTCATTCCTGAAGGTGACTCCTCAGACTAGTGTGGATTAAGTCAGCAGACCATCCACAAACTACAAATGGGCCCGTGCCCTAGCTGTGCATAGCGACCACAGACTTTGAAAGTGGAGGCCTTGGTTGACCTCAGCCACACCCTTGCACCAGCTAAGTAAGTAACCCGAGCAACACTCTTTATTTCTCCTCTGTGTCCTTCATCTTTAATATACAACACACCCACCACACCCGCCTCTCAGAACTGTCACAGGAGGCACCAGAAGACCCTTCGAAGTGCTTTGTAGGCTGCTAAGTATATATAATTATCAATCATATGTACTTGTTAAAATAAATGGCAGATAATAAATGTCAACCATTGGCAACTGTGCTATAAATATTAGAGCTAATGAGTAAGTCTCCGAACTCAAAAGATGGCATCCTCTTAGCTGCAGGCCTTTGGGAATTCTTTGATAAATTGGCCTTTACCCCCAAGATGCATGTCAAAAAATTGTATGTTAAAAATCAGGCGGTGGTGGTTCACCCTTTTAATCCCAGCACTTGGGAAGCAGAAGCAGGTGGATCTCAGTGAGTCTGAGGCCAGCCTGGTCTACAAAGCAAGTTCCAGGAAAGCCAGGACTGTTGGACAGAGAAACCCTGTCTGGAAAAACAAAAACAAAAGAACAGAAACACAAAGAATCTGCCTATGGAGGGGCGTGGTGGCACACACTTTAATCCCAGTACTTGGGGGGGGGGGAAGAAGCAAGTGGATCTCTCTAATCTTAAGGTCTAGCAGGGCTGATTCCAGCCCAACCAGGGCAACACAGTGAGACCCTGTCACAAACAAACACATCTGTCTATTAAGTAGGATCTCCTGTGGCCTGCTGGTGCCCAGAAGCCAGGCAGCTGATGGGTGCCAGAGCTCTGCATCATCTGCTTTAGAGTGACAAGCAAGAAGAAGCTGAATCTTTCCTGTGTGCCTTGTGTTTTTTGGCATCTCCTGTGGTTTTCTTGAGAGGAGCATCCTCCTTGGCAGCTGTGTAGAAGTATGGTCCGCTGCAGCTGGTCCTCCAGCCTTGAGCAAAGCAAATCAGTGACTACAACCGAGACCCAGTGCACGCAGCTGTGGCTGATGCACCGTCTACGGATACATCCTAGATGCATCTGTGGTCTTGAAAATAAGGTCCTCAAGTTGGGCAACACAGGCTATGGTGTTCAGAGCCTAGCCGATCACAGATGCTGAGTGTGCCACCCCTGGCTAACAGTGAAGGACGTCTTCTGCAGAGGGACAGAGCTGCTCTGCTGGTGAGGCCATATTTTCCACACTGCACTGTGTTCAATGGTGCTTATGCCCTGCACAGGGATGGAGGGGCTGCAGACAATGCCCTCAGAGAGCCCTGCATATCTAATCAGCAGCACATCTAATCAGCACTTGTGACATAGTGCATTTTCTCTTTTCTTCCTTTTGGTTTTGTTTTGTTTTGTTTTGTTTGGAGACAGGGTCTTTCTGGAGAGCCCTGGCTATCACCAGAACTCACTATGTCTATCAGGCTGGCCTTGAACTCACAGAGATCCTCCTGCCTCTGCCTTCCAGTGCCTTCACCACCACACCTGGCCTAAGCCTATTTTGTTAAATGTTACAATTCATTAAAGAGAGGTGGGTACCTTCACTAACATTGTATTTAAATTCTTTACTACTTACATTGTAACAACATATATTTAATTCCTACATTAGTTTGGCTTTCTTCTAAGATATTTTTTAATTCAAACACAATAGAACTTAATAAAAAATTTCTAAAAAGCTTGTGGTAGAAGCCTCAGCTAAACTTCCCTGCACCCTTTGGGTGCCACTACAATCACGGCACCTATGAGTCTCTATGTCAGAGCCATACTGCCCAGAGGGCTCTTGCTCTTACCTTCCCTGGAGTAGATATGTCTGTCTGAAAGAAAATTACACTGAAATATGTGGACTGACACTCTCAGAGAAAAGCCACACCTACCTTAAACATTCTACAAGGATGATAGACTGATTAGGACAGCAGTGACCATGGAGAGATGGAATTTATAGGCCGGGGTACAAATTATCCTGAGTTATCTTAAGTCTCCAAATAGCCATTTATTGCCCACCTCTGTATTTGGTCTGCCATCTTCATGACTATTAGGTAAATCCTTTTGGAATGTACAAACAGACCCCCTTAGATTTCATCAGGTGGTGTCGGAGGTCATAGGAGAGGCATTTTGTTTTAAGCCGGCTACTGATGTCACCATCAAAATATTTAAATAGTGCCTTGATGATTTGTGACTTTCTTTGTTCTGCTGATATAAAAATTGCATCTAAAACTGTTGCTGCATTAGAATGTGGTACTCAGGTAACCCCAATCTGTTCCAGAGCAATGCTCATGTTTGGTTACAGAATAAACAAACTATCCTTATTCCCTTCCAGGTGAGCATGGTGTATTCTGCCTGAGGAAGCTGAGTGATTCGCTGTGGAATGTGCTGGTCAATCCTCTTTTCTGTGAGCTCTGCAGCGACCATCTGTAACTGCTTCTCATCACTGGTATCAATCAGGCTTCTGCCTCTGTGTGTCACGATGCACCCTGCTCACCCTGACCCTGTAGTGTGACCTGAACACTTGGGGGACTCCTTGCCCTGGGGGGAAACACTGGGGAGTGTGGGAGGAGTCACTGCATTGATCCAGAAAAGACTAGCTCATTCTGATATTACCCACCTGCCCCTCATCCTGAATCCTCTAATGCCACCTGCCCCCCTTTTTAAAGGAGGCAAGTTCTTCTGGTGGGAAGCTATCCTTCTTCTCCAAGCTGTGGTTCAGAAGGCCCAGTGGACCCCTGTGGAATCTCCTACGTTGTGCTCACCCATCCCAGTCCTGCCTCGGTGCAAATGAGAGCAGAAGGCATGGAATGAGTTTCTGACCTCTGGGAAAACCAAAATATATGTCTGAGTTTATCAGACAGCATGGTCTTTGTGTGATGTCAGGGAAATCCAGAGCCCTGCAGTAGTAGCCTTTCCTCCAGAGCCTCAGCCTCAACCACTCACCAGGCTCTGTTCCCCCCGCCCCAGGATCCAGGTCTGTCTTCAGCAGGAATCTTGGTGGTCATTTCCCACCCAGTGGCCCCACCTGCTCTTCAGGCGTGAGGCCCCATGGCCAGCACTGTTTAGGAGTTGTTGAGATTCATTTGTGTCTTGGTTGCTCTGGTCTCTGATTGGTTTCCTACTGTGTTTTCACAAGCCCCACTGGGGACATTTTTACTTTTGCAATGATATTAAAAGGCAAGGAAAGAGAGAAAAGGAGTGGCTGCACACACACACACACACACACAGAGCACAGATTTTTGTAGCTGCATAGCTTTCACGGTTACTTTACACAGCTGGGTAGACAGGCCCGGATGCATCTATTTCATGGAGTACATTTGAGTCTCCCGTCTGTATAGCTTCAGAGCATGAGCTCTGCAGGGTCCAGCAAGAGCATGGGCACATGGAGCTTATGTCATCACCCCAGAAGCAGCAGTAGGGAGGCAGGCTTGAGTCTGGGCAGGGGCCCAGTTTCATCAGGACTCTTTGAGTAGCCCTCAGAGGTGAAGGTTGTGCCTCCCCTCACCTCAGGAACATCGAGGCAACTGATCACAGCATGTTTAGCAACATACCCAGCATTACCTATGTCCTATACATTACAAGTATATAGCTATCTCATTTTTCTGGGGCCCACAGCTGAGCAATTACCTTGAATCTCTGGACTTAAGACATTTGACCAATGCTGGAGCCATTAAGTCTGTGGGGACTCTTGAAGTTAGACTAAACATGCTTCATGAGAAGGTCATAGCCTTTCTGGGCCCCAATAAACACTGTAGTTCGAAATAGAAATGTTCCTCACGGGCTAGGCTTGTGTTTTAAACACTTGAGCCTCCCCCCCCCCCACCTGGTGATGGTGCTTGGGAAAACTTTTGGAGGTGGGTCCTGGCTAGGGGACTGAGTCACTGGGAGCTAGTCCTTGGGAATACATTATCTCTGGCCACATCCTGTCATGCTTTCTGCTTCCTGACCTGACATGATGTGAACTGCCATGCCTTCTCTATGTGGTCGACTGAGCCCTCTGAGGCTGTGAGCCAAAATATACCGTCCTTCCTTAAGTTTGAGAGGCATTTTGTCACAGTGATGAGAAAAATATATTTTACCACAAACACCCAAGTTATGACTGGCTTTTAATGTTCCTTTACACTCTGTGAACGTACAAGGGAGACAGAAGCCTTGGCCCGAGCAATTCCAGGAGGCGCAGGCAGGAAGTCAAGGCGGATACCGGCATGTTTGCTTTTCACGAATTTGTTCCCTTGGCCCCTTGAGAATGTTTGCAGTCTGGAGCAGTTTTGCACAGAAGCCCCTTGCTCTCTGTGGCTTCAACCCCCTCCCCCACCCAAAGCATCCACACTCATCCTCTCCCTCCCTTCTCAAGGGAGGCTGATGTCTTTGTTCTAACCCTTAATCAATCTGCAAGTCTCTTCAGCATTCTTCCTGTATACAGCTCTCGGTACAGGAGTTCCACACTCGCTGCAACAGTATTTTCAGCCAGTCCTTCCTGTCGCCTTATTTTCAAGGCTTCTGCAAAATGTTCAGGGGAGGGGCAAGCACCCCGCTATCCCCTCTAGGGCAGCATGGGATGGATCCAGGACAAGACTGCCTTTGACTACAGCACAGGACAGCTGAGCTGGAAAAAACTAACATTCTTATCCTTGAAAAGTAGATACGTTCTTTACAAAAGACAAATGTGAAAAAAAAAAAAAGATACTTCTTCCAAAATATTTTTTCCTACTCAATTCACCTGTGTTGAATCCAGAGTTTGAGCTTTTTACTCTCAAAATGCCATCCCCCCCCCAACTTGGGTCAGCACGTGTCCCATGTTAGGAAGACAGACAGACAGACAGTGGCTGCCGGAGAAAGGGAATGAGGTTCTTTTATTTGGTACTACACCAGCATCGTGCGGTGCGTGGGTTTATTCATACCGGGGTAATATGGAGCCGAATTCCAGTCTGGTTCCCCCAACAGGATGCGATGTATCTAATGCGTCTCTGGGAGGGAATGCCTTGTTGGAGACCTCTCTCCACATACAAGCCAGAGCATGAAGGAGAACAAAGCTCAGGCAGGGATCATGCGATGAAAATGGCCGGGAGGAAAATCACCCCAGGGAGCTCACAGCCACAGGGATGGTGAGTGAGAAACCTAAGCAAACCGGCTGCAGTGCATCAGTGTGCTCATCACATGGCGCGGGACGGGGTTTCCTAGGCTTGACCTGAAAGGCTGGCGTCACACCATGGTCATGACCTTCAGGGCTGCTGGCTGGAACCTGCGGATCTTCTTCTTCAAGGCCTTGGAGGCCTTGATGCGGCACAGTTTGGGCACAGGGGGCAGGGATGGCCTGGTGGCTCCTGGGGCCCGTGGAGACTGCTGGAAGGGCACCCGAGGCCAGGCCCGCTCCCAGTGCCCAGCCCCTGCACCTCGTATCCCCGGGCCACCGCGGCTGTTGTGGACACAGCCTTCTGAATCGTTGCTGCTGGACTCGTCCCCAAAGCGGTTGGCAGTGTGGTCACTGGCCTCCTCGTCCTCGCTGGTTTCCGCAATGGTTGAGTGGAAAAGTGAGGCACGCTCTGCCGAGTGCTCTGACTCACTCCTTGCACAGGCGTCCTGACGGGCAAGAGTGGGCCTGCTCTGGGCCAGGGGACCACAGGCTCTCCTGGCTGGGGACATAGAGGCCCCTAGGCTGGGCCCAGGACGGCTGACCAAGCGGGGTTTGGCTGAGATCTCCATAGTAGATTGCCACTTGCGCTGCTTTCTCCTGGCTGCTGAGCCAAGTGGGGATGTCTCAGCTTGGGATGCTGGGTAACCTTCCTGCCGGGCTACCACTAGCGGGACAAAGAAGGGCACAGGGTAGAGGGTAGACTCAGAGCAGGAGCGTCCAGAAGGCTCTCTGGCCAGTGTGGGCCCCCTGCCGAGCCCTCCCCTCTGGGGCCTGGATGAGGGGTCCCACTCTGGAGGCACCATGGCACGGATGCCCCGCTGTCTCTCGGACTGTGGTGCAAACTGCTTCCCTAGCCTTGGCACTTTGTCACCAACTCTTCCTCTGACCTTTACGGCTTTGCTTTGGGGAGAGCCTATCGACACGCTCATTGGGGAGGTTTCACCAGTGGTGCAGGATGGGTAGGCAAAGGGCCCTGGGGCCAGAGGGGGGCTCTCAGGGCCCAGCACCCTGGTTGGTGACAGGACTCGTCCTTGGCCATAATCATTGTGAGGCCCCTGGGCCTGGGAGCAGAGAGAGGGGCCTGCAGTGCTGTCTCCTGGGACACGGGGATTCCAAGGTATGGCCTCCTCCTTTGGGGGACTGCGGAGGGGCTCGGTATTCACAAGGGGCATGGACCCCTGTTGCTTGAGGCTGTCCTTGGCAGCATCCATACTTGGTTTCTTTCCTCCCCTGTCCATCCCACAGGCCAGCTCGCCTGCACTGTCTGACCTCTGGCCACAGGGCTTCCGTGGGAAAGGAGTCATGTTACTTCCCTGCTCCTGCAACACATCTCTCAGAGGGAGCTCTGGGCCCCGTAGACGCAATAGCCGCTGGATGTAGGCTTCAGCAGAGCCCAGCTCAAGGATTGGGCCAGTCCGAGTCTTGTTCTGATCCACAGGGACCAAAGGAGGCTCCCGGGGAGGCGAATGGATGTCAAGGCGGGGCACTTCCTTAGGCAGAGCAAAGAGGGGGCTCTGAAGAGCCACTGCATGCAGGGGGCTGGGATACGGGTACACTTCCTGGCCACCCCTGGCCACCAAATCACGCTGGTACTTGGGGTCCAGTGCATGGGCCGGGACCTCTATCCCGTGGCAGAGGAGGGATGAGGATGCAGCATCAGTACCAGCTCTCTGGAGCCCCAGGTCATCTGGGAGGACTCTCTCAAGATCGCCTGGGATTGAGACCATGAAAAACACATCAGCACAGATATCAATTCCTTGGTCCCCACAGACGCACACTGAGGCTCCACCCTTGTGGGTACTGGTCCCTGCTCTTCAGTGAGAGTGAGCAGGAGGAGTCATCTCTGTGCATCCACTTAACTGCAGCTTGAAGGCTCCCTGGGGAAAATGTCTACAGCTACACATGGGTCAGTCACAGTAGGTACTGCTCCAGCTTTCACAGCCTGAGAATGAAACTTGGGACCCCCCCCCCTCCCCACCACCACACAGAGACCAAGGCTGGTACACAGCCCAGGAGCGGAGGGATCCAAGTGATATCTTTTTCTCTCGGGAAAACACGAAGGGTGTTTGTGCTTTGATTCTCACTCTAAATGTGGCACATAGAATGATTTGAATGCTTTCCTGAGCTTCCGGGTGTTCATTTAAAACAACCACACATACTGCAGGCATGCGCGTGCACACACGCACACACACACACACACGTGCGCGCACACACACATACACTCACACTCACACTCACACACATTCACACAAGCATACACACACACTCACACACATACACTCACACACGTGCAACACACACACGCGCGCACACACTCCATGTGGGATCATCCTCTTCCCCAGTGGACCCAGGCACCATCATCTGCTGTCTCTCCCACCCGAATCACACCGGTCTCGCCCTCTCCTGCCTCTCTTCTCACCTGTAGACACTGGTCTGGGCCGGAACATGCCCCTCGGCCGGCCTGTGTCTTCTGCACCGTGCAGGAGCCTGCTGTCTTCTCTACTGGGCTGTGAGTTCCATGCAGGGACAGTGGTCTCATCAGCAGAGCGGGGCCGCCAGTCTCCTATGCCACACCTGGACTTAGAGGGCTGTAACACAGGCAGCCAGCTGCCCAGGGAGGGGGAGAGGCGGTCACTGCAAACAGACGCACACGAGGTAGACAGGGAGCAGGAACCAGCATCACTCAGCTCGTAGAAACCTAGACAGAGCGGACACAGTGGTCAGTGCACCTCTGCCCAGTGCGTGCTACCCGCCCCCCAAGGCCCAGCGCTCTTTTTTCTTGCTTTTTCTGGCACAGGGAGGAGTGAGGAGCCGATAAGAATGCCTGTGTGGTGGTGGCGGTAGGGGACCCACGACAAGAATGTTCCAGGTCCTTGCTGGTGGCTATGGGAACAACTGACCCTACCTCACCTGACACCTTTGGCTATACTCAGAAGGAGACCTTCCTTAGCTTCAGGCACCTCCATTCTTTAACATACAACTGCATGGGGGCAGTTCCTTCGTGCGAGTCCTCAGCCCCAGGGACTGCTGGGTACCTAGCACATCCAGGGCCAGACTGCAAAACCCAAGAACCAAGAGTGCCTAGGGGGACTCCAAACACTTCCGGTTTGTGTCCCAGATAACTGTGACAGATACACAGACCACTGTGACCCAGACACATGGGTCTCTGTGTCTAAGTTTCACCAGGAGAATACTGAGAAAGCAAAAGTGGCCATAGCCACACACGGACTTGTAACAATGACCTTCTGTGAGCTCTGGGGTGGATCAAGGGAAGGGAGGGCCATCCTTGTGTGATTGGCTGGCAAGTTATATTGATGTAAGTGATGCAGGCAGTCTGTAAAATACTCATTTGCCTGGTCCATGACATTACATGCATGGAAACTGTATAAATTATGTAAACTCTTTAGCTTATATATATTATATTTAAACTTTATATATTTATCATATTTGTCTTTTTTTTTCTCCTCCCTCTCAGATGTTTAGTTAAAGCTTTTTCATGTCTTTAGTCACATACACTCCCCAGGCTGCTCAAGGGCCTCCAAAGTGTCACATCAGCAGATGAACAGGGTAAAGTCAGATAGGGTCTGTGAAGGGTGACAGCGTGTTCAGCCTGGCTCTCCAACGTCCAGTCACTATCAGCAATACCTGAGCTGGGCCTGCTGTCACTGTCGAGGCCCTCGCAGGATGACCTGCTTACATCCAGCTGCAGCTCGCTTATCTGCTGGTCCAGCTGGTCCAAGTGAGTCTTCAAGCCGACATCCTGTCGCCTTAACCGTGACTGGGAGGCAAGGAAAGAGAAAGGATAAGACTCGATGTGAATACGGAGATCCAAACCAAGGTCCAAGGTTGAAACAGGAGCCACGTGAACACCAGGAATACCCCAAATTTCCAACTCACATCAACTCATGGGAAGCAACCTCCTGGGTCTGCTGGAATGGACGGCAAAGGATTTGCTACCCCTTGGCACACTCTCGCGCGCGCACACACACGGAGTGTAGCAGCTAGTCCCTCACACAGCATCTCTGTGGTCTATGGTACCTGGGAGTGTGCACTTTGACAGGAAACCCCAGCTTCACTTGGAAAGTCTGCCCTGGGGAGCATTACGTGCAAGCTCTGTCCCCAGAGGCTGGATCTTCTCCATGCCTTGGTCCCCAAGTGTATAGACAGACAGACACACACACACACACACACACACACACACACACACAGAGTGCAGTTCACATGAAGTGAAGGGAGTTCTGTGCACACATACACAAACTAATCAGTACTGAGTGTTTGGTAAAAGAAACTTCTTTCTTTCAATCTGGCAGTTTCCTGATTTCCAGGTCAGCTGCATATACTCCCCCCCCCCCCTTTCATTAACAAATAAAACCAAGGGACATGGCTCATCTGTGGAAGCAAGTGACCATTACTTTTCTAGCGGGGAACTACCTCAGAAATAAATCACCAGCAGCAAGATGCCAGCAGTTATGGCTTCGTGTTCATCAGAGGAAGGACTCTTGGGAAGGGCCAGGGTGAGCTGAGTGGAATGCTGGCCTGGGCTGGCACAGCTGCCAATCTCAGCCCACTCAGCTCTTCCCCCAGGAGCTGACTCTGGTGCACTCGCCCCCACAGGAAAGAAGATATTGTGAAGAGACAATGGACACCAAGAAATCGGAATTTCCCCAGAATCTCATCCTGTCTACCAAGAAGAAATTTCCACAGTTGCGACAACTCACCTACCACCTTCCAGGCACCTGAGAGTGACAGGCAGAATCACACCGTGACCAGCATTTCCCACCTCTTGCTTCTTTCCAGATATAAAAGGGTACTTAGGTCAGTACCCTAAAGATGAACTTGTGTGTGTGGGTGGGTGGGGGGGGTCTCACTGACTCTTTATATTTGTCCCTCTTTTCAATGTGGACACATCGAAAACATCCCTTTTTAGCTTTACATTAGGACTCGCCTGTTGGAGGATGGGTGGCCCAGCTGGTTTTTAGGGCTGCTAGGTCCCAGAATCTGATCCTAATTCTACTAACACAGGTGAAAAGTGTCTGAGAGCAACAGTATCTCCTATCACCAACCATGTCATAACTGAACAACATTTCCCAGAACATGCTTCCATCCCAAACTCTTTCCCAGAGACAACCAAGCTAGAGACCACAGCCATGCCCTTTCCACACACTCAGAAACTGGCCCCAGCCCCATCAAAGACATGGATTTTTCTCTGTAAAAGATTTTTCCTTGCCCTGTCTTAAAGCCATGGGACCCACAGACAACAAGTACCTTTGCCAGGGCCAGTCTAGTGAGTGACAGCATCTATCAAACCCTATTCCCCTTCCTCAGAGGCCACTTTCAAAGGTTGGCCCCTATGTGCACATTGGAACCAGCTGCTCTGCAGATAACATCAGCCCAGCCAGCCTTTCCAGCTAGTCTCTAGTTAAGGGTTGAGGTCTCAAGACCCCAGGGTCCTTAGGGGCTTCAGTGCCCTGCTGTGTGTGTGTGTGTGTGTGTGTGTGTGTGTTTTAATATTCCTCTACCCTTAGTTCAAGTTTTCATCACTGTTCCTTAGGCTGAACTTCAGCGTCAAAGCCACCATGACCAGGACGGAGCATTGCTGGCTACAAAGCCAGACTATGGCACTCTTCCCAGAACCAAGCCTGTCTACAGTTTGCAAGACTCATACTGATTTCAAGATGTTCCAGGGCACCTGGATCAGGGGTCAGAGGTCTGGTGCTAAGCATAGTCCCAATGATGTAGGCACCTCTGCAAATCCTGGGCTCTTGCTATGTAATGCTCTGAGACAGTCTTGTGTAGGACCCTGCACCTTCATCAGCTAAGTCTAGTGACCGATCTCCAAATGTCTGAGACCTGCCATTCCAAGGTGCCACCAAAAGGTAGCTGGGTGGCTCCTTTACAGGATCACACCATTATACAGAACTCGATCAGAATTTGTTATACCTCCCCCCACAGACATTTCCCTACTGCAACCCCAGCATAATAATAATAATAATAAATCTTGATGGTATACTTGAGGGGATAAAAAGTTCAGGATGTAGAGATGGTATCTAAGACACTTCCTCTCCTTGAATGCTAATTGTGAACAAAGGAAATGCTTTATGCATGAATTATCCCTTGATGGTCTCCTGCAAACTTCCCATAGTGAGTCAAGGGCCCTGCTCACTGGCTCAGAGATGAAGATTGCTGGTGGCCCCGGAGAAGCCTGTCAAGTCCAGGTCCTTGTCCCTGACCTCATCTGTTTCTCATCTGACCTCCATCTGCCCCCTATGTGCTCATAAAGCAAGCTGGTTGGGCCAAAGAAAACACCATTGACAGTTTCGGAATCAGTGTGGCTTGCTCTTGTGACGTCACTGCCTGAGCCTGCCAGGGAAAGGGATGGCTGCCTGTTGTCACTTTTGGAACATGTCATGACCAGTCAAACCCTGCAGGATGATCCTCATATAGGTCTGTGTCAGTCTCCTGTCCCAGGACACCTCTTCTGGATGTAGCTGAAGCAAGATACAATGTTACAACTTCTTGGTACGGTGCCAGACACTGTCTGCAATCCTACTTAAGCTCACTTATGGGAGTGGAAATGCCAGCCAGTTCCTTGAGACAAGTCCCTGTGAAAACACTCACCGAGGCAGGCAGCCTAAAGGGCCACCTGGGGTCAAGGGTCAGAGGGCTTGTGATTTCATCAGCAAAGAAGTCTGGAAAAAGGAGGACTAAGAGATGAAATCGCTTTTTTATTTTTGTCTCAGCCATCATTAAGAGTGGCTGATTTATCTAACAAACAAAATTCCCCTAAACAGCTACTGCTGAGTTCCCTTTGTGAGTCTTGACCTAGCAATTAGCAAGGTGTGTAGCCCATCTGATGAGCGCTAAATCCCTAGAAATGCTAAACCCATCCTCCAGTCCTTACTTGAGACTCCCCCCCCCCACCCCCAGGATAACCGAGGAGAACTCCAGCTTCACACCTGAAAGGTGACCGCGGGCCAGGTGAGCCACCGGGAGGGCTGTGAGCTTCTGGATTGCACTGTAGCCCTTTCATTATTCCCTTTATCTAACAAGTACCATTGCTCCTAACCCCTCCCCTCCCCCAGCCCGTAAGACAAATGTGGAAGTGCCAAGTGCCGATCAAAGCCACATAAATTCAAACCATTTTTCTCCTTTTCCGGTGAACCAAGTTTCATGACAAACCCTGCCTATTCCTTCTAGTCTTGGGGGAAAAAGGGTGGGGGGAGGAAATCAACAAAAAGCTCGTTTGATGTCTCCAAAGGCTGCGTGCAGGTTGCAGTGTGAGGGCTCACGGATTGGGTCTGTGTATTGCTGAAGCGGAGTTAATCATCAACCTCAAGGGAACGGGTCATGCGTGTAAACCGTCAGTGAGCCTGCCTGGCTGAAGTCACGTGAGGCAGAGTGCATAGCCTCTCGGACCGCAGGCACCTGTTGTAGTAATGCCTTGCTCCTTGCGTGGCTACGGCAGTTTGCAGAGTCCAGCCCACACCAGCCATGTCCCCCTCGGGGCAGTTCTGAGCATCTCACAAACTGGAGGAGGCTGCCAGCTGGAGAGCTCAGCCAGCTTTCCACCTTTCTCTAGCACCCAGGGAGGTTTCCAGGTGTCCTGGGGAAGTGACTCAGACACTGGACTTCCTGATTCTTTAAACACAAGCTCAACACGCTTCTGAGCTAAAGCTGATTGGAACACAGCAGTTTCATCCTGGTGGTTTACAAAGAGTCAATTCTCAACAGGGCAGACCCAAATTTCACCCGTGGGCGGGGGAAATCCCAGACTTATGGATGCGACTCCATCACACCTGAGAGCATTATTATTATTATTATTATTTATTATTATTATATTCCGCAGCGTTGGACGGTGGTGATGCAAGCCTTTAATCCCAGCACTTGGGAGGCAGAGGCAAGAGGCTCTCTCTGAGTTCGAGACCATCCTGGTCTACAAAGCGAGCGAGTTTAGGACAGGGCTAAATACAGGAACAACAAACAATAACAACAACAAACCAAAACACAACACTGCAGCACTACAAAACATCTTGAGCTGTTCCTAGAAGCAGATTGTAATTCTACTCGTGGAGGGCCCCCGTGGTCTACAGAGGAGAACTCAATGGCCAAGAGTAGCTGAGAAAGCACCACCGAGTCCCCTCTCTACGTTCCTCAGACCGGAGGACACTCGTTTCTGTTTTTAAACGTATGAGGTGACACGCGATCTTGGAGTGTCCTCAGCCTGCAAGTGACCCAAGAGAACTCAGTAGAGTGTCCTGCAGTACACGGTCACGCTGTGCTCCCGGGATAAGACCAGGGTCCACGCATCCCCACCACAACAACACTGCACCCAGCCCGACTTGCGCGCCTCCGCACCATGGCTGTGCCAGCCGCAGAGGAGATGCGCATTCAACATCAGGTCCCGCGCGCGGCTCCCCAGCACGCACCCCGCAGCGCGCTTCCTACGCAGCCGCGCATCGGGCCTCTCCGCTCTCCCTGAGCCCGGGTCGCGCCCCAGAACGTCCCCTCGGTCACTCGCGTCCCTCTCGCTCCTTACCAGCTGCTCCCGCAGCGCGGCCAGCGCCGCCTCCAGCCTCAGCCCCTGGTCGCGGGGCCCGGGCGCAGGGTGCAGGCCCAGGGCGCCCCGCACGCGCGCCTGCTGAGTGGCGCGCAGCCCCTGAAGCTCCTGCAGCCCGGCCAGGGCAGCCCGCAGCCGCGCGCCCACCCTGCGGCGGTCCCAGCCCGAGGGCCCCGGGCCGCTCGGAGCCCACATCTCTCGGCCGCTCAACCACCGCGCTGCGCGTCCCCGCCGCGTCTCCCCGCCCCCGGCCGCAGGTCGCCTAGGTGGGGTGGGACCTATCGCTGGCCGCCGAGGGCGGCGTTTGCGACGCCCGAGGTCACAGCGGCCGCCCCCTGCCCGCCCCGTCGGCCCGCCGCGCCCTAGTCCAGCCCAGCCCATGCACCCCTGGGACTCCTTGCTCCTCAGGGAAGGTCAGAGCCTCTCCGGAAAGGGACAGAGGAGAGCTTGGGCATGGCTGGAGAAAGGTGTTGTTTGGGCCTTTTAATTAAAAACAACACACACACACACACACACACACACACACACACACACACACACACACTGCAAAAATCACATTTCTGTTCGTAAGTGCATTACAATGGAAAACCCACTACCAGGTTTCCCAGCATAAACCGGTACCAGGAAACCCCTGCATGCTGCTCGGTTTACTACCTCACTCACATGCCACGCACCTTCAAGGAAGCTTCTAGTAAGTTCCTGAGCTGTGCAGCTCTCACCATGGTGGTCACGTCAGGAACAGTCTCTGGATTCCAGAAGGAAGCTGCGCACACACATGCTCAGTTGCCTGCACCTTCTCCTCACACACACTCAGACCTCCCCCCACCACCTCCACCTCCCCCGGGCCTCCAGTGGACACCGTTTTCAGTGGAATCTTGCTATCCGGGTCTTTTACTGTTCTTAGACTTCCGGATGTTCCCATTTAGCACCATCAGAGCCTTCTTATTCTGTCTGAATCATATTCTATTGTATGGCAGTGTGGCAGCATCTCCCATGTTCCTCCAGTGTTGGTTAGGAAGAAATTGCACCTCATTTCTGCAAACAGGACGGGTGGGAACGCTTTCCTCTCACTTGAGTGTCCACCGAAGGCAGGGATCGGTGAATCACACACAGGTGGCTACTGTGCTTAAGGTTTTGGAGACATGCCAGGCCGCTTTTCTCAACGTTCACCTTTGCCTCCTAGAAGCAGAGGTGGGAAGGTGCCAGCCGCACCCGCTGACTGAAGATGTGCCATCCAGAGCGCCCAGGGCTGTGGAGTGCAGCTAGCAGCTAGCAATTTCTAAGGCAGGAGGAGGCTAAGGCATCTTCTTCCTGCAGAAATGGTCAACCAGGCACTCTGTTAGTAACTAAGACCAGAGACTTCTTTACACATTTTCCTTACCAGACACCATCTGTAAAATCCTTAGACACATGATTCCCAGATTTTATTCACCCTCGGGTCTGTAGGTTTCTGTTTACTTATCTGTTTTTTTGTTTATTTTGTTCAGTTCTGAGACAGAGTCTCGATAAGCAGCCCTTTCTAACTTACTATGCAGACCAGGCTAGTCTCCTGTGTTACTTGGATCACAGGCCTCAGTTACAATTTCTTGCTCTTTATTTTTATTTCAAAGCATCATTTCTCTCTCTCTCTCTCTCTCTCTCTCTCTCTCTCTCTCATCACTGTGCTTTTTCTTGGTGTTATGGCTGAGAAACCGATGCCTGATTCTATCGCTGACTTCTCCCAATGTTGCAGTTTTAACTCATATCCTGGAGTTCTTTAATCACTTGCGCTGAGCTCTGACCTTGATCTGCCTGGGTCCCTTCTATTCTTCTACAGACATGAAACCCCCTGTCCCACAATCACGTCACGTGCTGGGAGCAGTTACCTCCCCATGGAGCAGCTGGGACCCTGGGGAGTATCAGTTGATTCCCAGAACGACTTCCTTATTCGTCCTTGTCCCAGGCCATGGCTGAGTCAGTGGTTTGCTTTTCAGCGGGTTCCGAAGCCCGGGCAAATGAGCTTGTCCCCTTCGATGTTCCCTGCTCTGTGTCCTTCAGATTTCTACAGGATTTTATGGGCCACGTTGCCAGCTTCCACAAAGAAGACAGCATAGGTTTCCTTGGGGGAATGTACAGATTTTGTCAACCAATGGCAAACACAACCTAAGGCTGAGCGATCCTGGTGCACAAATATGGGCCCCTTTCCACACAGTCAGATCTGTTTTCGTTTTATTTGGCCATGTCTCTCACAATTACCAGTAAGTCTTGTTCCTGTGTTAAATTTGTTGTTGAGTGTCTTCCTCATCCTTAGAACATTGCAAATTGTTCTCCGATTTCACTTTTAGGTGTCCACTGCTGGTGCATGGAGTTAAGCAGTTTTGTTCCCGTGTGCTAATTAATGCCCGTCACTACGCCCCGCCCCCACAGCATACCCTTTATGAAACAAGGAAGGCCTTCCTTCCAACCAGATGAGCAGGGTTAGGGAGGAGTATGAAGACACCCGTGTTCTCATACGTTACTGGTGGGTATAATGGAGGCCGGGACTCAGTTTGACTACGAAAGGCTTGCAACGAGCCTTGACCTGAGGAAGTGCGCCTGGGGACGCCCACACAAGACCCGTGGTGATCAGACATATTGCATTCTACCTGGCCAAAGAAGTGTGTTTGTGTAGTGAGTGGGATCCTTCGGCTGACACTGTGCTCTGCAGGGTGGCTTCTCACTGCGAACCTCTGTTTATAGGATGAGGCGTAATTAAATGTTACTAAATATTGGCTACAGTACTTGAATAGGCCTACCATGAACAGAGCTGTGTCTCTGCCTACGTGGTCCCTAGGATCCCTCTTGGACTTACTCCGCAGGCCTCCTTTGCTACCAGCTACCCCCTTGTGGTCTGCTCCTATCACTGCAGCCAGTAGTCCTTAAACTTCCTAAGGCTGACTGACCTTGTTGGTCTTCGGATTTGCAAAACCCTGTGTGGCCTCCAGCCTCCCGTCAGGGGAGGGGGAGGGGGAGGACTATGACTGCTCAGTGTGACCGTCTTCCATCCCACCCTCCAGGGCCTTGCCTCCCTTATCCATCTCAGGATCACTCCATTAGGCTCAACACCTTGCCTGTCCCCTTCTTTGCAAGTCTGCTTTTGCTCCCTTCGCAAAAGAAAGCTTGGGCTCTGGGTCTCACACGCCCGCCCCCCCTCCCCCGCCTCTCCCTCTTGCAGCACCTTCCAGAATGTGGTGCAGCTTGCTTTTTAGTTCCATTATAGCTCACTGCTTGTCCCACACTCTGGGCTGCGGGACTGGAGTGCCGTGTTTCTTTTGGTGAGGTTATTTTAGACTCTCAGACCCCGCGCGCCTGGCTCTCCGTAATGTTTACTAAATAAACACATGGCGACTGTTACTTTTTTTATTTGCCTGAACAGATCTTAAAAACTGCATGTATCTTGGCCTTCTTAAATAACTTCTTGCATTGCATAACGTGTTGTATAAGTGTTTTTATTACCAAAATAACACAGAAGATGTGTAAAGAAGTCTGCGGTCCTCTTTCCAGTTTGCTGAGCTGGGGCTTTCTCCCTGAAGTCTCATATATATATCCACTATCCACCCATCAGTCTCTCCTCTACCTGTCTTAGGAATACGGATTCCTAATACACATTTGTACAGCTCTGTGCACATGGAGTTTGTGTCATGCAGTTTCAGGGCCATCTAACTTTTCCCTTGAGCAAGTATTCCGGAGTACAAATGAGCTTCCATCAGTCAACTGGCAGATGGTCTAGCTGTTCCCTTTCTCCTTCCCACAGCGGTGCTGTAAAGATCGACCGTGTACACACGGTGTAAGCCAACCATATTAAATCAGTAATTGTGGTATTGCTGAAGGCAAGCACAGTTACGCAAGGAGAGAGTCAGTTGAGATGCCTGAGATGCTGTGTCAATCAGCACAGCTCCCCTTATCTGGTAAGCGATCTCATGAAAATCACCTCTGAGCAGCAGATCCACTACCCACCCCCACCCGACCCGCAGCCCAGGGGTTTGCACCTCTGTGCAGTTAGGGGGCGCCCTCTGTGGGATAAGGAGATGGCTTCATTAGAGGTAGCTCACACCACTACATACAGGTGATCTCAGCTGCCTGATTCAAAAGGCTACAAGCACAGCATCTTTAAGGTGCTCTGTGGAAGCAATGTGAGCTGGACTCTTGTCTAAGATGGAGGAACTCTGCAGCTGTGCTGAAGGAAAGGCCAGCACCCTTGCCTATCAGAAGGGCGGGGAGCCCAGGGCACCGTCTGCCCATGAAAACCCATAGATGTGAGGGAGAGGCCAGGTGGATACAATAATTGGTTACCAGGCTCTGCAGCCAGGAGTACACCATACCCTGTTACTTGAGACCAGGCTTTGCAGTGGTTCTGCTTGGCTCCCAGAGACTTCAAGAAGTTACAGGTCTTGGTTTTCTAGAACAAACTGCAACTGAATGACTTGCTGTCAGCTGCCACTCTCCTGTCCCCAGAGGGTAGTGTCAGGACCAGGGAGAGTGAACCACAGAGAAGCTGTGACCCCTTGTAAGGGGTCACTGAGGTGTGAATACTGTTCCCACCTGAGGTTCCTGGGAACAGGCGAGAAAGTTGACAGCCATGACTGAGATCCCCAGTGTGCTTTGCCTGCAGCTGCGGTGACCCCCGTAAATGCGGCCACACCTCAGACTCTGGTGTTTCGACTTGATTTACAAAGTCACGTTAATGTGTGGGAGCCGTGGAAGAGCCAGATCAGTGTCTGTCTCTAACGTATCACAGGCAGGAAGCCTTATCGTGTTCTTCTGCCACATTAAAGTCCCATCAAGGAGCCAGATAATTTATTACAGAAACGAAGACCTAACTAGATCACCTTTCCTTCTATGGGTTCAGCATCCAATAAAAGATCCAGTGGTACTTCAATCCTGACTCGGTCCTTGATGATAATGTCGAGGGGAGACACTTGATTATCGAGACCTTGGGAAGGCGGTGGCCTGTGCTGGGCTCAGGGCTGGGACTCTCCTCCCATGGGAGCAGGTTAGCAACAAGAGTGGGAAAATGCAACATGTAAGCATGGGTGTGTGTAGTGTATAGGTACATGTATCCATGTGTCTGTGCACATGCGGCATGTATGCGTGCCAGTACATACATGGCTGTGCATGTGTGCACAAGGTGTGCGTGTGCATGTCATACTAATTTATGGCCATTGGTGACTGCATGCATGCGATAGTATGTATGTATTCCATGTGCTATGTGTATGTGTGTGTATGCATATGTGCATGAGAAGCATGTATAATATGTATGCATGCTTGTGAATGCGTGTGCTGTG